TTTGTCTATTTGGTAATGTCTGTCTATATTTGTCTTTGTCTTTATCTTTTTGTTTGTCTGCGCTTGTTTTTGCGGATCGGTTCGCAAAGATGGCACACTTCCGCATTGCTACGTGCCGTATCTCTCCCTTTTAAGCTCTATTTTCTTCCTTTCGTTTTATTATTCTTTTTGTTTTTGATTATTTCTACTATTATGTTTGGTTGCATGCTTGCTAGAGAGAGAGAGACTAAACAAACTACTCTTTTTTTATTTTTTTTATTTTTTATTTTTTTTCTCTTTCTCTTCTCTTTCTTCATTTAGGATGAGGGATAATTTGCCTATTGGGGTATTGGTTGACTTTTTCCGGATTCGGAGGTACTTTTATGGAGCCATTACCTCTACCTCGAGCATTTCCGCTAGTAGCAGCTCTTCCTGCCATGGGTCTCTTTTTCTCTTTCTATCGTTCTTTCTTTCTCTTTCTCTTTCTCTTTTTTTCTCTTTTATACTATTTTTCTTTATTTCTCTCTTGTTTTCTCTTTGTTTTTTCTTTTCCTCTTTTTGTTTCTCATTCTTTCTGACTCTATCTTTCTCTTTTTCTCTTTCTTCTCTTTTTTTTATATTCTTTTTTTCTATATTGATTTTTGTTGTTTCTCTTTTTTTTTTCCTTTTTTTTATTTTTTATTTATGTTTCTTTTTTTGTATATTTCTTCGTTGATTTTTTTGATGATATTGCCGTTGATGGAATTAATGGGTGTTCTTTAGTATTGCAATATATTATTTGTTTTAGTGTTTTGAATTCTTGTTTGAATGATATAATTTATTTTATTTAATTTTAAATGAAAAATGGTTATTTAGAATATATTTAAATTTTAGAATTATTTATTTAGATGATTATAAGGATATATATCTATATATGAATGATATATAGGGGAAATTGATATTAATTATATAGGTTTAATATTATTTTTGTATTTGAATATTAGTTTTTAATATTTAAAATATTATATTTGATTTTTGTTGGATTTGTTTTAATTTAATATGGTATTTTTGGTAGTTTGAATGATTTGGATATATTTTGTGATTTTAATGAAATTTTAATTTATATAAAAATATATTTAAATATTCGATATTGGTTTAAATGTTTTCAATTAGATTATATGATATTTATTGGAGGGTAATAAAATTAAATTTAACATATTTAGTATATATATATATATTGTAATTTTTTATTTTTTAATTTGTTTGAAAAAATATTATTGATTATTATTGATTATTTAAATTAAAAGGTAAATTATTAAAATAATATTGTGATATTTTAATATTTAACTAATTTTATATAATAATTGTTGATGGTTGATTATTAATATAATAATAAATATATAAGAAATATAATATATATGTTTTTTATTTTAATAAATATTTAATTATTATAATTCTATATTATTTAAATATATATGTTTTAAATATATTATATATTGTTTATATATATTATTATAAATATTGAATTATATAAATAATAATTAAATAATATTAATAATATGAATTGAATTGAATATTTTATATAATAATTATTGATATTTGAATAATATATTTAGGAATAAACATAGTGTTATATTTAGTATTAATTTGTTAATTTATATTTAATTTGTTATATATTGTTTTGAATTTACAATTTTTATAATTATAATTATGATTTTTGGCAAATAATTAGTATAAAATAATGGAAATATTGGGAGGTGATATTTAACCATATACAAAGGTGAATTTGAAGATATATTCGAAGGATAATTTGCTAAATAATATCTTTTTAATTTATATATAATTCATTTATATAATTTTATTTAACATAAATTTTATAGATTTATTAGTATTTATGGAATAAATTGATATATTTCAATTATAATATTAACCAATTATTCTAATAAATAATATTAAAACATAAATTGATTTAAATAACATATTGATTTATTTAAAACAAAAATAATTAAAAATGAAATAACAAATTCAATACATCAATTCTAAATTATTATTTATATTTTATAATTTTTAAAATTATTATATTAATTAAAATTATATTTATTTTATAATATATATTATATTTTAATTAAATTTAACATAAATTAATTTATAATAAACTAATTACTTATTGGAAAGAATCCGATAATTCTATCAATAGCAATATTAACAAAAAAATCAAAGAGAAAAGAAAAAAAAAAGAAAGAAAAAGAAGAAAAAAAGAGAGAAATCAAAAAGAAATAGAAACAAATAATATAAATTAAAATAAAATATATAAAAGGAAAAAGAAAAATATACTGAGACAAATAAAGAAAAGAACAACGAAAACCAATAAGAGAAAAGAAGAGAAATAAAAAAGAACAAAAAATAGAAGAAAACAAAAGAAAAACAAAAATAAGAAAGACAAAAAAAAAGAAAAATAGAGAAAACAAATAAACACAAAAAAAAGAAAAAAATAATAATATAAAGAAAAACAAATACCCATAGCAAGAAGAATTATTGTAGGCGGAAATGCCCGAGGTGGAGGCAATAGCTCCCCAAAGCTACCTTTCGTCCTAGGAAAAATTAATCAATGCCCAAACAAATTATCCCTCATCCTATGGACGATAAAATGGTATTAAGAAGAAAAATACAACAAAAAGAAAAATAACGATGTTTTTTTCTTCTCTCTTTTTCAAATAGAAAAAGAAAGAGAAAAAGAGAGAGAACAAGAAATAGAAACAAAGAAAGACACAAAGAGAAAAAAAGAAAGAAAAAAAGAGAGAGAAACAGAGAAAAACAAGAGATAGAAAGAGAAAGAAAGAGCAAGAGAGAGAGAAAAAAAAAAAAAGAAGAAAAAGAGAGGGAAAGGGAGGGAGGCAAGCAAGCAGGCAGGCAGGCAAGCAAGCAGGCAAGCAGGCAAGCAAGTAGGCAAGTAGGCAAGCAGGCAGGCAAGCAAACAAGCAAATAAGCAAAAACAAAATCAATCAAAAACGAAAGGAAATATAGCATGAAAAGAAGCAAGGGGAGCTTAAAAGGGAGAAATACGGCATGCGGCAATATGGAAATATGTCAGCTTTGTGGACCGACCCGCACACATAAGTACAAACAAACACAAAAAAAACAAAGATGGATATTGCCACACATTACCAAATAGAAAAACACAAACACACGGAAATAGACAAAAAAACACAAAAAAACACAAAGAAATAGAAACGAACGACAAACACGGACACATAAAGACAAACAAAGACAAACCGAAACAACCCGAGAAAGAGAAAGACACAAACAAACAAATAGAGACAGAGAGGCGCAAACATCAAAAAGAAACAAATTAGGATACACAATAACGCACAAAAACAAACAGAGAAAGACAAAGATTACGAAACAAATAAATATGGACACATGGAAATAGACTACAAAACAAACTTTTCGAGCAATTTCGACTCGAACAAATTCCCAAATTTCCCTCGAAAATTAGCCCGGTATTTTTTTCGGAAAGCCGCCAAATAAATGCAACAAACCTCTTTTTCAACAATTCAATAACCAACCATTTAGCATAATTCAAAATACAAACCCCAAAGAAGAAATACCTTAAACTAGAAACCCCGAAAGGGACCCTTATATATACAAGAACTCATCCGCAAAAGAGCAAAAGATTCGTCTGATCGACTTACTCCAGAAAATTTATATCATTTTCTTTAATTTTAACGAGATATGTTATTATCGTTTTCTTCCAAAAGAACATTATTTTTTCTGTTTCCCGAATTGCCGTGCTAAAATAATAAGAATGCCTTCAAATTCGTATCGCCGGGAGCGACCCAAAATTCGGGAGAATTTAAGAGAATTACACCATAAAAATTATAAGCAAATATTTATAAAAAAACATAATATCAAATTTAATTATATTTATTATAAATATTAATTTATTTCATTATTTTATTTTTTAAA